TTGTGATGATTGAAGTTGGAAATTAGTCTTACAACTTGTTGTGATGATTGAAGTTGGAAATTAGTCTTAAACTTATTGTGATGATTGATATTGGTATGGTTTTAATTTTATAAGCTTAAACTCTGAAAAGAACAGAAAATCTAAACAGCCACAATTGTGTTTCTGTAGTGCGACCAAGTAGGAAGGCACGCCAAGTTAATCTTCAGCGAATCAGACGAGAAGAAACTCGAGCTGAACAGAGACAGAGGAAGTATCGTTATCTCTACCAAGTGAGAACAGCACACGGGGATGTAATATCTCAGGTTAGGGAAAAACTTCTTTTGCACCTAATGTACTGTTGGTTAAAAAAAAGTTTCTTAAGCAGAGAAAATTATCGGTTAAAAACAATTGTTAAAGATTATCTAAAACATGTATTGAAGGTGAATATTCAGTTTTTGTGTTAATATTAACTCGTATAAAAAACGTGTTAATGTGGTAGTTTGAATTTTTTAAAATTTCGTACTCGGAAAAAGTTAACACACACAAGAAAAAGTGGTGACCGAGTAGTGGTCATTACATGTACGGAGAGAAATAAGGCATAAGGATGGGCCTTCATTAGAGAAAAGAAGAATGTGATTGCTTGAATTCTTAAAAAGTGTCTTACTAGAAAATGCTAGTGGGTGTGGGTTAACCATTTAAATTAGTTGGTTGAGTAATTAGTACTCACCTGGCATGTTAAGAAGTCTAGGGTTCGATTTCTGGTCAAGGAAATTTAAAAAAAAAAATACGGATGAAATTACCACAAAAAAACATTGAATCTCGTAGAATAATTCATGTTAATATTACGTGATGTTCCTTAATTCATTGCCTTAAGGTTTTCATTTGTCACTTTGAAGATCTAGTGTATGATAATTAGAATAAATGAAAATTCAAAACGTCGGACAGTTATGTTAATACATTCAATGTGTAGTTGGGCAATGAATTCAACATTTGCATGCGTGCTCCAAAAACCAGAATCACAATTTCTGGCATCTGGAAAGATAAACTAATGCGTTACAGTAACAAAGAAAAGCACTTTACAATAACAAGTGTTTTTTAAAAAACATTTTTCTGATTTAAGCAACAAATGTTTGTTAATCTCATGCCATGATTAAAATTGTTTCTGTAAATTTGTAAACATATTAAATGGTTTACAACAAAGAGATCTTTCATATTTCTTTAAATTATTTTCATTTATTGTTTGCCCAATACTGATTACTTTTCTTGCAGTAAATTTGAAAATTTTATGCAAAACATCGAAAAAAATCTTTATCAATTTTCCCAGCCTTAAAACAAAATCATAAAAGGTTTAGTACAGTGTTTTGTTTGATAACTTTTCTAACTTGAGAGATGTGTTTGAAATGTAACGGAGACCTGCAAAGAATTATGATGATTGGTCATTTCAAGTATTAGAACACCCAACAATGGCAGGTAATACAGACATACTGATAAGATGAAACTGTCTGATAGTGAATCTGACTTGAGCTGTCATGTGTGGAACTAAAGAAAAATAGTCTTCGAGACTATATTGTTGTTGTTGTTAATTCTCTGCATATTTAACAACCACTTTCTTTCAGGTTTGCTAAAGTTAGAACTGGGTGTTAACTGATAGGTTCTTTCTTGCACCCGTACTATCTTCCATACTATGTTATTTTTGTGATTGAATTAAAAACCTAAAATCTCTGCATATTTAACTACCATTTTAGATATGCTAGACTTAGAACTGGGTTTTAACTGATAGGTTCTTTTTTGCACCCATTCTGTCTTCCAGACTCTGTTGTTTTTGTGATTGAATTAAAAACCTAAAATCTCTGCATATTTAACTACCATTTTTAGATATGCTAGAATTAGAACTGGGTGTTAATTGATAGGTTCTTTTTTTGCACCCATTCTGTCTTCCAGACTCTGTTGTTTTTGTGATTGAATTAAAAACCTAAATTCTCTGCATATTTAACTACCACTTTCAGATATGCTAGACTTAGAACTGGGTGTTAATTGATAGGTTCTTTTTTTGCACCTTTACCCTTGTGATCCCCAAATACAGTATCGACCTTTGCATGCTGTTCCATCTGATGTTGGGTCAATGTACAATTCTGCCTGATTTGGTGTTCCAATCCTGCTTTTCTATCCCTCTACATTACATTTCTTTTTTTCCCATACTGCTTTGAAAATATTCTATTCACCCTTTTTTTTAGATAACCATAATAAATAACAGATAAAAACTAGGAAAATAAACAAACTGGAAAGTTTGATTAATTATGTAGAGTTTTGCTCCTATGGTTTTAGAATACAAATTGTTATCAAAACAGGTTAATTCTGCATGTGAATAATTTCTCCTTCCTTAAAAATAATTCCATTTCTTTGTCGTAGTTATGTCTTCTAATCTTTTCATTAATTTTGTAATTGTTCTTCTTTATTCTCTATCAAAACTTCCACAGGATATTCAATTCCTGTTACTGTTCCGTTCTAAAGCTTAAAATATCTGGTATAATTTAACTTCTGATGCTAACTTAAGACTAACAACTTGCATGACCATCGTTGTTGATTTTCTTTCTTTTGTCTTGGTGACCAAGGGTGAGAGTGCATTATTTAATTACAGAGCTACATTCAAAGTCTCCAGACTAAAGTTTGCCCACCTGACGATAGTCTGACCACAATCCACTCAGACTTGACTCGTCTAACAGTCTTGAACCCATCAGCCAGCACCACCACCACCTTGAGTCAAGTTGCCTGATAAATATTTCTTCTCTCAAGTTGACTCATCTAATGGTCCTCAACCCACCAGCCAGCACCAGTACCACCATGATTCAAGTTGCCTGATAAATATTTCTCCTGCTTCCAAGTTGACTCATCTAATGATCCTCAACCCACCAGCCAGCACCAGTCACCACTTGATTCAAGTTGCCTGATAAATATTTCTCCTGCTTCCAAGTTGACTCATCTAACTGACTCCTACAACCCACCAGCC